CCATTCTAGATGCAAAGTGAACAAACTGATTAGTGAAATCCTATGCTTTCAATATGGTACATAATCATGGTGAATGTGTTAATTTGTGTGTGTGTGTGTGTGTGTGTGTGTGTGTGTGTGTGTGAATTTTCTGACCAACACAGAGGAACAAAGCACTATGCTTATTTTTTTATGTATTGCATATTACAGAAATCCATTTAGCCTTTAATGGTCCTTTGAGGACAGGCTTCATAATTGTTGTACTATAATACATCCAACTATATGCAAGAAAATCAGGCTGCTGGTTTGAGACAGGCCTGTACACAATTATCTAAGTTTAAATGCTTTAACCTGGCCTGGCTGGCATAGCTCAGTGGATTGAGCACAGGCTGTGAACTAAGGGGTCACCGATTCGATTCCCAGTCAGGGCACATGCCTGGGTTGCAGGCCAGTTCCCAGCAGGGGATGCATGAGAGGCAACCATACATTGATATTTCTCTCTCTCTCCTTCCCTTCCCCTCTAAAGATAAATAAATAAAATCTTTAAACAAAACCTTAAAAAATAAATAAATGTTTTAACCTGACCTGTTCTTTATTCTCCAATGGTATTTTTGGATTAAAAGTAAATGTACCTTTTCCTAGTTTGATTAGAGTCCCTAAAGACCATGAAAATACTGCCTGAGTGGAATAAGCAGAAAAGTCAGTAAGGGACACAGCATTTGATGCATAAGAATCAAGTAAAAATGAACAGATACTGAAGGATGTGAAGCAGTAATTCTAACTTAACTCAGTTCAAGCAGTAGATGTACTTTGAAGGACAATGAGAAGATTTCCAGAATAGCCCGGCTCCTGCTCCTTCAGGCTCCTTTGTGGAGTTAATCACAAATCTCCACCTAGTACCTACCTCTGTTCTGTGTTCAGAACAAAGGCAACAACTGAAGCCTGTAGATCACACATTACCCCCAAAGTAAATAAATAAAGGGGCGGTTCCTTTGAAAGTTGAACCTTGCTGCCTCCAAGCAAAGACCCTAAAGACAGATTTCTGCTGCGGACCCACCTTCATCAACATCTTACTAGGAAGCTCAAATACTCTGTTGGCCTCCTCTTCCTGCCACTTGCTACCCAGGTAAGATGCATAACTTCTTAAAACAGAGTCACTTTAAGGGTTAAATGAGATAAAAAGTAAAAGTGCTTCACACACACACACACACACAAAGCCTTATGAAGGGCAAAGGGAACCTTCTTGTAATGAAAGGTTTTTATTTCCCTGTTCCACATAGCAGTTACCACTCTTTATTCGGTAGAGCTCCTTTCTGCCCATTCAAGCTGGGAGGGGTGACACACTTTTCTACCTCTTATCTTTTTTTGCTGTCTCAAGAATATACCCAGAGGCCCTTTTCATGCAAATCCATTTACAGCAACTCCTTTAGGAGAAAGTATCTTGGTAGGCAGAAATTATCAACAAACCAGGGGCCCCAATGATTTTAAAAGTTCTTAGGACTATTATTAGTAGATCTATTACTTTCTGACATATTTTTAAAATGTATGGCATTTTATGCCTAACTACCATTACTCTTTTGTGATAAAAGAGTCATCTTAAATATAAATATGCTCTCAAGTCGTTGATCCTCACACACAGGAAATTTAGTCATAGTTGGGATAGCTGTTTCTTGAAATATACTGAATTGATTCCATTGATCCTCTGCTTCCATCATCAGAGGTCTCCTCAAGCACTGGTAGACTCATGGCAATCAAGTGCTCCTGAAGTTCAACAGAGCAATTCTATTTTAGCACAACTCCAAATGACTAAGCCCACCTCAAGTGCTTCCCATGCTTGACAGGTAAACATGCTCCTTCGGATTCTGTTGCACCTTTTCCTCATATCAGACAAGAAGGGCCTGGTCATCTTTCCAGGGCCAATAAGAAACATGACTGGAGAAAGAAGTATTTTGGAGTTCCATAGGCAATACACTGACTTTACAACCTATAGAAGGCTGGGAGTCCAGTCTTACAGCAGAGCCAGCAGAAAAATTATCAGGGTTAGACTGGAGCAACCCCCTGGCCTCTCTTTCTGAATCAGTCAGTCTTCATTTAAAGTTTGACACTCTGAGACACTCTGAGGCCTGGTAAGAGAAGGGGGCTAGGTGGGGCATGGGAGGGGGCGACAGGCAGGGTGGCTTCCTGATGGCCCTGGAATTGTCCTGAGTGGGTGTTGACTGCTCTGCCCATCTGCAATTTCCTTCATTGCAAACAAAGAATCCAATCTGACTTCTTACTACCTCCAGAGTGCAGCATGAAGTGAATGTGTTAGCTCTTCACTTGCCTTTATAACCTGCTTTTCATGAGCTTTCCTCTGCTCAGTAGAGTTTGGTGACTGATTTACCTTTATTTCTCTGCAGCAATCAGCATGTTTCCTTGCAGCTCAGCAGAGGTGCAAACCTGCTGCCTCCTGACTTTTGAACTGGAGGTCAGACTTTCATGGAGGTCCTAGGGTGAGCTGTGCACTCCCTGGGTCCCTGGGAAGATCACAAAGCCACCAGATAACGCCAACGACACAGTTGGAAGTGCTAGCAAGGAGCCAAGAGTTCATGGCCCAGGGAATCAATATAACACATTTGAAGTTTTCAGCCTATGCAGGCATTAGTATTGCATTAATGAGAGAGTAGAATGTTGTGATTAGGAAAGTAAAGCAGAAATCCAAAGATTTGTTGAAGCATATTCTCTTACAACTGATTAATTAGGAGTAAGAAGAACACTCTGAAATGCTTGAGTTCATTTACCTACAAATTATTAACCTTAACTTTATGATATGCCAGTCAAGAAAATTAGGTATTAGAGATGATAGGAAAAAGTCATTTGAATTCACTTTTAACTTTTGAAAACAACACATGGTGTTTGAAATGCTATTATTAATTTTGTGTTTAGTTGACTAATATCAACATGTTTCTTAATTCATGCTCTCCTCGTGCCCTCAGAATAAATGATCCATAAACACAAGGATGGTGTCTGGCTTGTTCACTTCATGCAACTTGGAACTAAGGTTCTGAGACAGAAAGGAAAAGAGGTAGATGGGGCAGGTGAGGAGCTGGAAGGGAATGCAGCTCCCTAGGGAGCTTGGAGTTGCCTTGGGAGCAACTGCCTGCCTTGTTTGCTCTCTTCCAAACAGAAAAGAATGCAACCTAATTTGCTATTTCTTAGGGACAGCAACCTAAAGCATAGAAGGGGCTCAGTAAACCCACATTCATTGAATGAACGCATACATGAGTAATGCATTTTACTCTTTATAGATGGAAGACAATCACTGTGCTACCAGTTAACAGAGAAGCTGGTCCTCAGCACCACTTCAAATTCCTTGGCTTTTGGTAGATTATTGTCCTGTTTCTGAGTATTCCCCTTTCCTAATTATTATCAGTCTTCTTTCTGGTACTTAAGAGCTTTACCTGTTTCTTCTCATCTGTTATCCAAGTCTGCCCACCTACTAAGCTCAGACACCTACTGGGAATGGAAGTCACTTTGTTACTTCTCACATGGCTATTTCTATGTTTTATTCTATCATTGTCCTGTGTGGTTTCCCAGGTCCCTAGACCTTGGTCTCAAGTATTACTGGCCTGCAACCTCTATCCTTTGAAGTAATTCTATCAGTGTCAGGTTGTAGGGGACCGGTTTGTTTAAGTCTGGCAAATGGAACTCAGCTCTCTATAGAAAACCTACAGAAGTGAAGTGGTGGGCAGGATCCAGACCTTCGAACCAAGTTTTCCCATAGGAATCAGGCCTAGAAAATGCATACAGACTGTTATGGCTTGTTCTTGCTAAAACTCCATCACCCTGGTCTAAAACAACAAATGTGTATTGTCTATCTTCAAGGTAATTTCCAAAGCCTGTATGAGTTCTCCCAAGGACAGAGCTAATCAGCTCATCGCCATTCCCCTCTGCATGTTATTTTTATTTCCTTGATTGTACCTAAAATGTAGACAATAATGTTCTATGTGATAGATAATAAATCTTTCTCTGATGTAAGACCCCAAGAAAACAATAAAAGCCTGTCTAGACAAGGGTCGGGGCGCTCCTCTCTTGAGGGAGTGGCCGGGGCACCATCGGCACTTTCCCCTTGAGAGAGTAGTCCTGCCTGTTCTTTTTTTCTCCACAGGATTGTTGTCACCTGTGCATTCATTCTCGTCGTCGGTCACAATAGTCCACCACACAGAGTCCACCACATCAGGTAATATATTAAAATCAGTCACAGTTGAGATGACTTTGTGTCAATTTCCTCTTTGACTGTGACAAAGAAGACTCCAGTATATCACTGGTTTTTTACAAACCACTCTCCTTCTTAACCCGAACTACCCCCCTCTTTCCTCTTAAGTTCCTAGTCCTGAGGATGGTGTTTCTGCACAAAAACAAAAACGACACCCACAGCCACACACCCGCTCCTCCAGATACTGCCATCTAACACTTCCTCAAATAATGTCCAATTCATCAGAGTGATATCATATATCCCAAATCAAAATCTGTTTTAAACCCCTCCATTTCTCTTATCTCTTAATCATCCCGCTAGGTCAAGCCACCAACATATCTTGCATGAGTTCTACAGTGAATTCTCTGTTGCTTTCTCTGCATCTTCTCTCAGTCAGTCCATTCTCAGTTTCCAACTAAGAGATCTACAAAACATGAATCTCTCATACCCCTCACCTCCTACAGAGTCGTGCTAGTCGTCTTTCTGTTCACCATCACATTCGCCCTGTTTTTCCATTCCTTACCATGCCCCTTCCACTATGGCTCCCATCATTTCTTCGAGAAAAAAAAATAAGCTCTTTTCCATCCTAAGACCTTTGTGCATATTCACTTATAAAATGGGGACACTAGTTTTATATTTCTTCATCTAACGCCTTTCTTTCTTCTATTACCTCTCAGGTCTTTGCTTTACCTTTCCTGTATCCACATCTTTTCCTATATCCACATTTACTCCTATACATACTTTATTTATTTTCTATCACTGCACTTGGTTTTCATCATTTACTTACCTATTATTTGGTTTCCTTGCTGGAATGTAAGCTCAATAAACAATGTCTGACTGTTCAGCATTTATTCCACCAACACAAAATATTGTGATCAGCACAGGGTGATGTTCAATAAACAATGGCTGAATGAAGAAATGAATGAATAAACTTAAATCTAGCTTTTCTTGGTGAGCATTCATGCAGGTTTCTCTTAATTCACACCAATCAATCTTTAGTCTTATAAACCTAGGTATTTTATAACCTGGCTATGGAAGAATCCACACACTCCTCTATTAATCCAACTAAAACATCTCTCTTTAAAGATGTAATGGTTTTCAGCAATTTTTATGTTTTTTCTTTTTCAGTTCTGAATACCTGTATATTTGGCTTGACAAATAGGTTATATTCACACACACATACATATATTCTGAAACTGAAATTTTGTTATTAAAAATGTGTACTTATTCTTACATGTTTAAACTTCCGTCACACTGGGAGCACTCTCCATTTGATGCAATACTCCTGTCAAAATCTTTTTTCCACCACTGCTCAAAGCAGTTTTTGGACCCATCAGTTTTGATGCCTTTTAGTGGTTCTGGCATTTTTTGTCTCACCTCTTCCACATTGGCAAAATATTTCCTTTTGAGGACTTTTTTCCCATCTGGGGAAACAAAAAAGTTGCTTGGGAGGAGACTGGGTGAGTAGGGAGGGTGGCACATGGACAATATGCTGTTTTTGGTGAAAAACTGCTGAGTACTCAGCACGGTGTGGGCGGGTGTGCTCATAAGTCCACCCATTATGGGTGAAAAGGGAAAACGTGGTGAAAGAGTCTTCAGAAAAAGTTCACTGAGGCCAACTCAGCCTCTCACAACAATGCCAGTTGGTACAGTGATACAGATAAGTTCCTAGAACACTCACTACGTCAGGAAAGATTGTACTATAAGGGCTCTCTCCTCCAGAAAATAATGATGATTTTTGGGGGTCCTTCCTCATATATATTATTTAAGGGGCATTAAGGTGTTCTCTTTCTCTCAGGTGACACATTGCTTAAAATTATACTTGCAGAGAAAGAACACAAAAAGGAGGGGAAAGTGACAACTAATTGTTTTTCTAAAATGTCTTATGTGTCATTTAATAACATTGAACTCTCTCTATTTCAAAGAAGACACAGCCAGTATTTTAACATTTCATCCCAAAGGAAATGAAATATTCGGCCAAATCACAACTTGTATTTCTTTTTGTTGTCATTCATAAAGCAGACATATCAAAGACGTTAGAGGGCTAATCACGCTAACTGAAGAGAGAGAGAAAGAGAGACTTGTTTGCTACCATTCCTTCTTGCTTCCAGACAACCACTGTTTCCCCTCCTTGCACCTTTGCTTCCTCTGAGTATCCATTTTACAATTTGATTCCATGGGATTTTGCTTTCAGAGATCACTGAGATAAATTGCTGTGAGCTTGGTACCAGGAACAGCTGAGTTAGAGGATCAGCTGTGTCACTAAAGCTGAGTAGTTTGAGACAGTTTTGTCATCTATAAAATGCTATCACTAAAACCTATCTTCTTGGATCTCCCTAGCAGTTAAATGAGATATTGAGTGACTAGTAAGAGCATAGTGTAATATATGTGGTAAACCTTAATTTTTACCCGTTTTAATAGATAAACACATTTTGACAAGGGACCCAACGACCAGAAGAGCCTTTCAATATTAAAATAATTGATTGCAAATCTTAGAATATCAGGCACCACCATGAAATGTTACTGGGGGAGATGGATTCTTTAGGTGACTTGTTTCTTCTCTAGACCTTTCAAGACTTTCTTAGTTACTTCTCAATGCCTCAACCCAACTTCATGCAAGCAATTAAGCCCAAAGCAGAATTTGTTTTACTCAGCAGGTCATAGATAAAATGTAGTTAATGGGTTCAACACTTACTTAAAGGAAACGTGTTTGGCTACATGGGTGATAAGAGTTGCCTCGCAATCGAGATTGTACCTTTTGTTCATTCATTGGGAAATTCTTGCTGTAATGGCAGAGACATTTTGCCCCAAAGCAAGAGACTGTGTGTATACATGTTTATGGCTGACAACCCCAATTTATGCTCTTGTTTCCCTACATTCCTTTGAGTGGGGATAGAACAAGAATGACAATGCAGGATGAGCCATACTGCCATTCATTTACAGTGCTTAATTAAATGTCCTCTCCTTGTATTTTATCTATTATTCTTGGGCTCTAGGGACACTGGGCAGTATGAAGTTTTAAGTCACAATTCCAGTCACTAAGTGTGTGCTAGAGCTTGTAATAAGTTTGTCTAAAGTCTTTCCCACCTCTGCTTCCCATAGCAGGCTCATTTACCTTTCTGAAACAGAACAGAGCTGTTTTTAGATTCCCCTGATTTCCACAGACAAGACACTCCTGGGAACCCACTGTAGAAAGTGTTTGCTAAGGCACATTCTTAGCTGACTGGCTGATGAGGGAATAGGGAAAAGCAGCTAGAAAGCCCATGTCCTATATGCTTCATCCCAGCCTCAGAGTTATTAATTGTACATCACAGCATTCTCTTTTCTCTAAATACATGTCTAACTCATTTATTAAAACTTCATACTAATTACTTCCATTGCATCCCTCGATGAGTTGATTCCATATGCAATGTATTAATTATCTGCTCTGAAAAGACTCTAACATAAATTCCTCTGGTGTCTGTCCATTATCGCTTCTTAAAACCATGCCCCTTCATTCTTTTATTTGGTGATTACTTATTCTAGTTGCTTTCTCTCCTGCTATGCCCTTATGGACACAGCAATCATGTTAGTAAGAGAGATTTGCAACAAAATACTGCTAGAAGTGAGTCCATATCCTTGAAATAGTCCTCTATTCCAGCAAACCATAAGGTCTGCTGAACATTTTGAAATAGGCTACTACTTCCTCTCTAGGTTTTTAAAAGCATGAGAACATGAGTGACTGAGACCAGATTTTTGGGTCAGTATAATTTAACATAATCATCTTCCTGTATTGATGAAAGAGTAAATAGCTGCAGCAATAAAGGAGGAAGGGAGAGTGAAGACAATAGGAAGACTGATAAGCAAAGGAGAACTCTTCCTGATAAGTAATGTGCCATGTGTTTTACTCTTGAAAAATAAGAAACAGCCATTGAAAACCCTTGGAGGGGCCACAGCACACCACATGTTCTCTGTCTGTCGTGATAGTGGTTGTCGCCAAAGACAAAATTAGAAAGGTTTCACTTCTAGTAAAAGAGCAGCAAACAATCAGCTTCTTGCAATCATTTCCTTTGTTTTCAGAAGCAATATGTGATTTTTCACTCAGATCAAAATGGATAGACTTCCTAATGACTAAGCTGGATGCTTACCTTCCTGATATACAAATAATTTTGGAAGACTGACCGGCAAGTCTGCTTCTCAATTATCCAAGTGGTTTGTAAATGTGACATAGTTTTTGATATTTGGAAACTATCAAATATTTGGAAGCCCTGATTCTGAAAACTTGATTGCCATTTTATTTCCTGGTAATGCAGGTTGACCTATACATATTATTTCTTGGAGAAATGGATACTGGTTGGTCAGAATGTGACCAATAGTCTAGAGAGTAATTTAACCATATTAGCATGAAGAGTAAGCCAGAACTCACCTTTCTTATTGGCTTAACCACCATGTACAATTATCATAACCCCTTTCTGCATGTGACTGAAATGGACAGAGATACCAGGTGAATTTCAGCTGCAAGGCAAATACGACGTTTAAGAACTGAGGATATGTAAAGGCACTCCATAGGAATCCAAACACATGGCATCTGTCTCTGATTTAACTTAATCCCTCCAAACTTCAGCTCTATAATATGTACAATAAAAACAATGCCTGCTTTACCAGCATTTTAAGGATCAGTTGTTTGATGATCATAGTGCTTTAATACTAAGAAAATTAGTACTTATTATCTAATATGTTATATTATTATATTATTGGTCAAATTGGCCAGTGTCTACTTGAAGATTAGTCCTATATCAATGTTCTTTTTCCTCTTTATTTTGGAAGTATAGGTGCAAATTATTAAATTCCAGGAATCTATTGTTTGATTCATAATCTATTGTAGTTTATTTTGTTGTACCTATTCTGTTCTATTCTATTCTACTCTATTCTATCTACATTTTGATATTTTCTTGATGATTTAACTAATCTCATTGGGTACCTGAAGCCCATAAATCAATCCTGGAAATATCCTGGAGCTCACATTTAATGACATGGAAATAGTTCTTCTCTATCTAGTCTGTGAAATAACTGGACATTTAAAACACCTCCCCAAAGATCTGCATCTCAAAACATGAGCTTGCCTTGAAGGAGCCCTTCGTGAGAACTTAGGTCTGGAAATGGGATCACCAGTGCCTTATTGATGTTACAGGCCCACAGCAGCCTTCTAGAGAGATTTTCTATGTTGTATTTCACTATTATAACTCCATCATGGTCAATTAGCAAGACAGACTCCTGGATTTTAGGCTTGAAAATGAGGCTTCTTGATTATTTATGTTTCTAGGATGTTATTGAGTAATTCAGCTTAGTAAATAACTTCAATGTGTTCCATCATGATGACTGTAAATCCAGGTGTTAATACTCTCAGATGGCCCATCATCTCACTGGAGATACCTAATAAAGCAGCCATTAACCAACCGTATATGGTGATGTAAACTATACCACTTGCTGAACTTCCCATTATCAAGAGTACCACTGTGGAGGTGGAGGAGATTATCTAAGTAGGGACTTGCCATGATCATAAAGAAACCATGGAAAAAAGATATTTCCTTTACTCTGTGAAAAATGTGTGTGAATAAGGCATCAAGCCTCAAAGGTAGGTATGAAGGAAAAGTTTGATAGGCTGCATTATAAAGTTAGAAGGATAAAGTACTCTCACACTACAGGCATTAAGCAAATGTGGGATGTAGCAGCTTCTAGTGTCGCTGATTTGTTCCAGAGGGTGTTCAGTTACATTCCCTTTGGAAAATCTAACATCACAGAGGATTGAAAATCAGATTCAGGAGACAAAGGGTTCTTGTGCTTCCATCTATGAATATACCCAGAAAAGCCTCTGACATTATAAGAATTTGGGTCAAAAGTTGTCAAGTGGCCCTGGCCAGGTACTGGGTAGTTCATTTGATTGGACCATCGTCTCATATGACAAGGTTGTGGGTTCAATCCCCAGTCAGGGTACATACAAAAATGAGCCAATGAATGAATAAATAAGTAGAAAACAATAAATCTCTCATCTCTCCCCCTCTCTCTCAGATCAACAAATATTTTTAAAGTTATCACTTGGTTTTATGCTTTGGGGAGATGAAGAATAAAGAACCCACATGTCCTAAACAAAACGGCGTGTAGAATATGGGAACAGTGAACAAAGGCTACACTGTGACCCTAGAAATATGGCTTCTAGTCTTAGTTCTTCCTTCAGACTAATCAGCTGTTAGAAACTTGTCAGTTCACTTTGGCTGTCAGTTTCTTCTAGTTGAGGGAAGTTGGATTTCTACAGACAGGGTTTGGGGGTGGTTACTGTCTTATCTTTTACCAGGGCAAATATTATTGACTTGTTTATGTTTCAGAAATGTTGAACCCAGCCGTGACATCACAGTCCTCTCCACAGTGTCTGCTGCGTGGAACAGCTGCCTGCCCCGTGAGCAGAAACAGGATGTGGAAGAAAACTCTTGGGCTGCAACATAATTGCAGGCCTGTGTGGTCTTTTCAGTTGTCAGTCTTGGTGGTTAGCAAAATGACTCAATCTCCTACCCATGTGGAAGTCCAGGGCTTTGCCAGTATTATTGGAGCCCTAAGAAGCCAGAATTTGTGTTGGCCCATTCCACGTCAACACTACTTCTTCCTTCTCTTCTCTTTCTTTTTAGCCTTCTCCTCCTTTTTCAATTATTTCTGTCACTGGACACAGTCTGTCTGAAATTTCTGACTCAGAAGAAAAAAAGGTATCCTCTTCATTTTGCCCGGAGAAGACAGAGTCACTCTGTTCCAAATAGCCTCAAATATTTGAATACCCCCAATGATTAGTTGCATATCTACATATTTAACCATCAAGAGTAACAGACCGGCACTGGGCGAGATGCTGTGGGAAACTGGAAGAGCTGCAAGGCTGGTCTTTGCCTTACCAGAGTTCATAATCTTATGAAGGAGAGGAAAATATGTACAAAACACCCCCAAGGAAACATAAAGTACTATAACAATATACAATCTTTAAAATAGCATCTATCCCGCAAACTGTTGACAGATTAATCTTCCCCAAGCAGTGCTTTTATTCTGTCCTCTGCCTCTCAACAGCCTTCACAGCCTTATTTCTTATCACATTAAGTCCAAACCCTCCGCTGTTTTTCAGGAACCCCTCAATCTGACTTCACCTAGTTTGTCCAAATTTATGTCCTAGTCTTTCCCCACCAGGCCAGAACGTCTCCAAACTTTTGATCATGATGTCTTCCCCAGCTTGAATGTAGAAAGTATGGCCCCAATCCCACCTCACCTTTCAGATCCTTAAAATATTAGAATATCACCCCATAATTCAATATATACATAAAACAAGGGAAAAAAAAGGTTAAATCGAAGTTCCCCGTTGAAAATATTTTTTTGGTGGAGTAGGTCACACTGATCTTTCATTTATTTAAATACCAATATGGTATCAATAGCCTTTAATTATGTATTTTGGCTTTCTGGGCTTTTTCACTTATTACTTGAGTGACTGTGAACTGTAATCTTAATCTCCTGAAGCCTGGTTGCCTGAACTATAAAATTGGAACACCCAGCAGAATTACTACTGTGAAAGCTAAAGATAATATATTTAAGGCCCTGGTAATTGGGCTTGGCTAGTTAGCATGCAGTAAATATCCTTAAATCACTACAAAAGTAAAAATGTACAACTACAGTAATATCAAAACTGACTGAATCTACTGTGATTATCTATTTCGACATATCATCAAGATTATATGGTTCTTAGATTTAGGAAAACAAATATTTTGGGTTTCATGTAGCACAGAGATAATAAATATTTGACAATTGGTTAAAATGTAAGTTTTCTAGTTCACATTTGAGTAGCAATGTAATATAATGAGTGTGAGGTTCCAATCTGGAGCAATATTCCTGAGTTCAAATCCCTGTTCCTCCCTCACTTACTGTGAGGCCTTCAGCAAGTTACTTAAACTCTCTTTGCCTCAGATTTCCTCATCTAAAAGTAGATACAATAGTACCTATCTCATAGGGTTGCTATGAGAGTTGTGTGAGTGAAAATTTATAGAGTTAATATCTGTAACATAAAATATTTATGCTTAGGATTGTAATTAGCAAGTAGCAAGCACTACATCAGTATTCATGAAATACAATTCTAAACATATATGACTTTCCTTGACCAGCATTTTAGTTCTTTTATCTCATCTGACTCATTTTTCCCATCACTGAAATATTAAAAGCGATCAGAAAAAAATCTACAGATCATCTGATGCAGAAGTTTTTTCCAGAAAACAGAGTTAAATTACAAATATTGATGGCAAGCGTAGAGCAGAGTATGTTGGTCTTCAATGCTGTATAAATTTAATTCAGATAATAAAGCCTGGCCACAGGGCAACTCGAGGAAGAACAAGGCATTCCAGCAGGTACTCTCCAAGTCTGTGTGGGACCTGGAGCCTCATTCATCATCCTTCCAGATGGAATCAGTTGTTCGCATTTCCTTTTTGTTAGTTCTACAGAGTCAACAGAATCTCTTGTGATTCAACCACAAGTCTTGGGGTCGGCACTCAGTAAAGACTGCCAACTGCCCCAACTCTGATGTTCTCCACTACTGTCATTCAATTCTCTCTCTTCTCTTTTTACTAGGACCACTTCTCTAGCCATGAGCAGTAAATTCAATTTCCTCTCCTCATAATCTCTTACTCGTAGCTTCTGCACATTAGTTTTCCCCTTCACGACCCATTGCCATTGTGCCTTGCTACTCTGTGTCTCACACTCTCACACTCTAGGTGGCTCTGTGGGCAGTGTTCTTGGGTGTGTTACCTCACGGGCTGTTGGACCAGCTGTAGGAGTTCTCTGTGGTTCAGGAATCCTCCAAGTTAGCTTTGATCTAGATAGGGGCACAAGGAATTTGCAAAAATTCAAGCCAGTACACATGGACTAGTTCATGCTTGGATCCATGCGGAAGAGAGCAGGCAATTTTAGGATATTATAGTGAAGTGTTAGTAAGGCATTCTAGGCATTGGGTGCATTACAAAGGGGTTAGAAAAAACTATTTAAATCTGGCCCCCCGCTGGCCAAATAGTACTTGCACCTTCACTCTTCTTTTCTCCATCTCTTTTTCTTTATTCTTCTATCTTCTGAAACTTTTTTTTGCTATAGTTCTGGGAATTAGTATTCACAATTTGTTCACAACCAGATTTTATTTCCACACCAAAGTACCAGGCATCTGCCATTTAGTTTAGCTATTAAAAACTTCCTTCCAAAATTGGAAGCATGGCCAGTATGTTTAACAGTATGTTTGAGAGAAAGACTGTCATATCAGAAGAGGAAGTGCAAGACATTAACAAAGGCATTTGACTTAGCCTGACCAAATGCGCTCCTAAATCTGGGGGTGCATAGAACTGATTGGGGGTGAACAGAATTTTTCAGTGGACTATTGTTTAAGGGCAATCTCCTTACCTCTATGATGAGTATTGGGAGCAGTAAGAACAATCACATGGGTCTTTGGGAATCTGACCAATTTCTGAACTTGATTTTTCAAGCCAGGCGACATCAAGTACATCCAGATTGGAATCCTGATGCCTTGCTGTTACTTTGCAAAACTGCTCTCCAGTTCTTAAGCAGAATGTGCATGCCCATGGAGAACTGGAAAGGAAATGCAAACTATTTTATTTTTCAAAATAGTATTTATTTGCATAATAATATACAGTGATGTGAAAGCTTGTTCTGGCACTGCCTCACAAAGGCCATATGACCTTTGGCAATTGACCCCTAACTCAGTCTCCAGGAAGGCTAACTAAATCATTTCTGCAGTTCCTTTGGTTCGCATAGCACAATGATTTTATTAATCTCCAAACAAATAAGGTTGAGTTAATTCTCACAAACTCTTAACCTTTAAAATGAATTTTAAGAATATTATATAAAGTGATAATACTTTGCCAAGGTCCTGCTGAGTTATTTTATGTTCTCCAGCGCTCTGGTCAATTTTATAAAAGACTGTAAGTGCTAGGCTTCATATGGAATTCCAGGTCCATATTCAGGCCAACATACCAAACCTGTCTTCTGACTTCTGTGCATCCCTGTGTGAAATTGTGTCTGTGTTTTGCTGATTAGGTGGTTGCTGGTGTGTAGGGAAGAAACATGTCCAGGAATCTTCAATGATAAACAACACAGCCTGTTAAAGGGGGTTGGGGGGCCCACACATCCATCCTCATGACCTTTTTTGGTTGGCTTAGGGGCCCAGAAACACTTAGCCTCGCAGTTGTGCCTATACTTGGCTTTATTCGAGTCAGCCATTAAAAAAAAAGAGAGGGCAAAACCAATGTTATATTCATTGTTTATATTTCTGGTGGTGAGAAGATAAATTTTAAAAATGCCCTAATAAAAATTGAAAGCAAATGGAGTAACATCCAAGGAAAATGTTGGTCCTGTATTAAAAGCGACTTCTCCACATCAGCTCATTCCAGATGCACAGCTGGTCGCCTTGCAACAGCCACCGTCACTCTGTAAAAGGCTCCCTTACAGGCTGTGCAGCCTGTCTGCTTTGCATCCCCTGTGGTGCCTTAGCCCCTTTTTACTGTTTCTGTGTTTATCCCAAAGAAAAGTGCAGCGTGAAGCAACATATCTGCTGTGCCTAGTGATTCAATTGGGAACTATAAGACTATACTACATGCCATAGCTTTGGCCTTTTATGGCACAATAAATTTGGGGTTTGTTAATGGATCCGCTATAAAAGATTAAAATTCATTTATAAATATTGATTCACAGTCTATTATGTTAAGATTATCTACAGATTAAAAATGAAAACTATGTTAAAACAACATTAAAGTATTAGATTCAGATCTTCGCGGCCTGGCACAAATCATCTTCAGTGTTGAGAGCAAAAGGACAGAGAAGCTATTCTTTTGTTGGAGAGAGAAAAAGAGGAAATCTTAATGACATGGTCCAATATGCATCCGGTTAAAGAGTCCTGTGATGAACATTTCTTCCTGTTTGACCAACTTGAGATTTCTACGGTTGAGAGGAACAAGTGTTATTTGAACAGGAGTTCCAATCACAATTTAATGGTAATAATCAAAGACAACCTCACTTATCTTTAGATTAATGCTGCCTGGCATTCAGTCATTCAGCTGATCTTCTTAAAGAAACAAAAATCTCACGCATTCTACCCGAAGGGTAATTATTTCTTTCAGTTGACTTGTCAGAGCCATGGACATAGTCACAGGCTTCAAACATAATGGAGCTCTGTCACCATTCACCAAGGCAACATAGATTTACTTTCCAATCTTTTCCCTCATTTTTTATGATTAGCAAAAATATGTCAATCTTGAGTTTACTGGTTAATTGCCACGTTGAGGGTAACAATGCCGGGCATGCATAGAGCATTTTATCCTTACGAAATGGATTTCATAGATGCTGTCTCGATGATCCTCACAACGTTCCTGAGGGGTGGGTGGGGCTGAGTTTAGCCCTTGGTCTGAAGGACTGCAGCAGAGACGATGCAGTGCCTGAGTCAGGTCATCCCACCATCATCTGCATCTATTGCCCTTTAGCTCCCCACACCTGACCGCTCTCATTTTTGTAAATACATATTCGGAAATCTATTCTTGGTCAGATACCTAAAAATATCCTCTTCCTTAAAATCTAAAACTTCACCAGAGAATTTCATGTAATGATGGGTACGTTAATATTATCTTAATGACAGTTGGTTACATCTGATAACATGAGGACATGACTCTAGGACACCCAACGATAGCTTGTATCTTTTGTGTGTGTATATTCATTTTACATCTAGACTTTTAAATTCATATTGACTTAACCAATCATACAGACTCTCTCCTGGGTCTGTGTGTGTGTGTGTGTGTGTGTGTGTGTGTGTGTGTAAACAGAGGAATACTAATACTGCATTTTCTGTTCTGTAACTAATATGATTTATTTTAGATAAATTTGTTTACTCAATTAATGCTGTCCTTGTTTCACACAGTAAATGTAAAAAGCTACACCTAAGACAAAACTTTCCTTAACCAATCATCGGAAATCTGGCCCTCCACAGATGTGTCAATTACTGCTGTATCTTTCTACAGATACATTTATGTGTATTGTGTGCCTGATTGTTTTACAACAAATATATTATGCTCTGTGCAATATTCTAATGCTTTTGTTTGATTTTTCAGTCAAAAGTATATTTTGACAATCTATAAATATACCCATTTATATATTTATTGATTGTCGCTACAATGTGCTATAATATGAATGTACCACATTTAAAGTCATCTCCCTGCTAAATTAATATTTGTATTATTGCCAGATTTCCCCCAATATAAACAATGCTGGGTGAATATTCTCCTACATGACTCACTTGGCGCATGTGCTGATTTTTCTAGGGCAGAACCTGTTAAGTGCTGATGGTAGATCATAGAGTATGCAGGGTTTTTTTTTATTTAAATAGCTATTGCTCAATGTACTTCCCTTCAATGATTGTACCAATTTACAATTCCATCAGCTGTAAATGAGAGTATGCTATACCCCCACACAGTTGCCAGTATGTGATTCTAACAGACCTTCTGATCTAAGCATTTAAGAATAGTTGAAATAACAAATGTACAAGCCATAAGTACCAAAAGCCTACTATTATGTTTGGTTCCCAAGGTTACGGAGATGCAACAGCTAAATAAAAACCCGGATGGGGAGAGCAAGGAGATGCTTTAATTAGGTTGGAGTGTGAGCCTAAGCTGAGGCTGTTTATCTGGGAGACAAGACTTAAGAAGAAAAACATGCAGCTGTCCTCAGATGTTTGAAAGACTCATGCAGCGGAGCTTCCAGAATGCAGAACCAGGGCCAAAGTACAGAAAGAGGAAGAACAGGGGCATATTCAATCTAAACCAGTGAAGCCTCACACATCAGGCAGAACCTTCACTTGTGCAGCCTGGACATAGCAACAACCCATGCAATAATTTACACGATCATATGAATCCTTTTATAGAATTCGCAAAGATATTCTCACCTCAGTAGGTTAAGACCACATTCTCTTTCCACTCTAACTTTTCTCCTGTCAGTTTAGCCTTTTGTCAGGTGACCTTAGAGTAGCTGCAGGCTTTCCTGAAATTTGGGTACAGGGAAGTTAGTTTGAAGATACACTGAATGTGGATTTAGTGGGTTAGAGTTATGTGGTACACAGTCACTTCTATGTATGGTTAAATTACCCCTAGCCAGGTTCCACAGGCTAGTACATATTCAAGAAATGAATCTGTAGAGCTCAAATAAAAATGATCTTAAGGCTATACTTCATACACATAATAGTCTATGAGTAGGCTGTCCCTTCCCTAACTTTAAAGCCTGACAGACTGAACACCACTACTTGGCATTCAGCCCTACCTTCTGGCTCCCGTCAGGCGCTACACGGTCTTGTAGTCTCATTGCCCTGAGTGCCCTCCATCCACTGCATTCAAACCATCCCCCTAGTTGGTGCCGGGCCGTGCTGTTGCTACGCTCCATCGCCTAACATGGCCTTTCCCTTTGCATCTGTACAGGTTCTTAGTAATTCCTCGGTAATCTGACACAAAGTACAAACACTGCGGAAGATAACATAAAACTCTTGAATGTCCTGCTGAAAGGATATTTGTCAGAAATTCGTCAATGTATGTTTTCAATTCACAGAGAATTTTAGATGTTTCACTACATCATACACTCATATACACGAATTTAAATAGCCTGATATCTTATAGCTTATATATAGAAAAAACGAGAGATGTTTGCCCAATTTTTACAACAATCTTAATTCATGTAAAATTGAAGACAATAAGTTATGATGCTAAGTAAAATTGAACAAAGTATCGATGATTTTTAAAAAACACATTTCCTCCCTGGCTGGCTTAGCTCAGTGGATTGAGCATGGGCTTCAAACTAAGGGGTCGCTGGTTCGATTCCCAGTCAGGGCACATGCCTGGGTTGCAGGCCAAGTCCCCAGTGGGGGCCATGTGGGAAGCAACCAACACACTGATGTTTCTCTCCCTCTTTTTCTCCCTACCTTCCCCTCTCTCTAAAAATAAATAAATAAATAAATATCTTTAAAGATTTTATTTATTTATCTTTAGAGGGGAAGGGAAGGAGAGAGGGAGAGAAACATCAGTGTATGGTTGCCTTTCATGCGTCCCCTGCTGGGAACTGGCCTGCAGGGAACCAGCCTGCAACCCCAGTATGTGCCCTGACTGGGAACCGAACCACGATTGTCTGGTTCGCAAGCCCGTGCTCAATCCACTGAGCTGCTACACCAGCCAGTAAAATATTTTTTAAAAATTTTCATCAAACATTGCTAAAGGAAAGACTGAATTATCTTCCTAGTCATGCCATAAAAAAGTAACATTATAAAATTATTGTCACATGGAGATGTGATCAAAGGGTCAGCCATCAAAGTTTTGGGAAAACAGTAGATAAGCGTACTATACAACTAATAAAAATATTGTAAGAAATACAGATATGCAATTTTCTGGATTTAGTAGTTTTAAAAATGGATAATGTGTTATATTTCACTTACCATTAACTTTCATACTTGATTTAAGATTTATATGTATTAGTCTTTCCCTTTAAGAAGGGCACCACAGTACCCAGGCCTTTAGCTCTGGAAGCCTTGGGTATTTTCCTGGAGA